TAATCATTGTGTTTTGCCGGCTGGAAGGCTATCAAGGCATAATATCCATCCGCCTTTGACATAGTAGACCACCCCCTTCTCCTCAAAATACTCCACGCCTTTGGTCTTTGACTGTACTCTTCGCTGGTTCTCATCCTAACTATCTCAACACGCCTTCAGTGTCACTTACAATTCTACTTCTTCATCTCCTCTTCCTTTGTCTGTTGGGGTTCCCCAACGTTCTGTTCTTGGACCTCTCCTATTCTCAACCTACACCTCCTCCCTGGGTCAGATGATTGCTTTCAATGGCTTTAATACCATTTCTATGCTGATGACACCCAAATCTATCTCACTACCCCTCAGCTCACTCCATCAGTCTCCTCATACATCACTAATCTACTAACAGACATATCAGCCTGCATGTCACACCACTTCCTGGAAATTAATCTATCCAAAATCGATTTCATAATATTTTCTCCCTTACATGACCCTTCCCCTGACTTCTCTGACAGAATTAACTGCTCAACCATCAACCCATCCCCGCATGCCAAGGTTCTAGGTGTAATCCTGAACTATCCGTTCGGCCCCACATCCAATCATTGTCCAAAGTTTGCCGCCTCCGCAACATCTCCAAGATACACCTCTTCCTAGCCAATGACACCACAAAGCTTCTAACTCACTCCCTGGTCATTCTCACTTGACTACTGCAACTCCCTCCTCATTGGCTTACCTTTACATAGGCTATCCCCCTCTTCAGTCCATCATGAATGTTGCCAGGCTCATCCACCTTACCAACCACTCAGTGTCTGCCACCCCTCTCTGCCAGTAACTCCACTGGCTTCTGCTCACCCAGTGAATTAAATTCAAGATAAAACAATTTATAAAGGCATCCACAACTCGGCCCCAGCTACATCACTAACCTTGTCTCAAAATACCAACCAAATCATGCTCTTCGTTCCTCCCAAGACTTTCTTCTCTTTAGCTCCCTTGTCATCCCCTCCCATACTTGCCTCCAGGACTTCTCCAGAGCCACTTCCATCCTCTGGAACTGCCTTCCCCAATGTGTCTATCTCCTACTCTATCCACTTTTAGACGATCTCTGAAAACTCATCTCTTCAGAGAGGCCTATCCTGCCCACAACTAACAACTGTACATGTATTTTCTCCATCAGGCCATCCCCTACAGCTATTACCCTTTGTATCTCTTGACCCTCCCTCTTAGATTGTAGGCTCTCAGTGACCAGTGCTCTCTTATTCCTCCTGTATTAAATTGTATTGTAATTGTACTGTCTGCCCTTATGTTGTAAAGCGCTGTGCAAACTGTTGGCAATATATAAATCCTGTATAATAATAATAATCTGTGTCCCTGTTGAGATCTTCCATAACTTCCTGTCTCCAATGCAAAAAATGTTTATTGAACTCCCTGTCTTCTCTTGAGAGTAATATCTGTTTTTTATATGCAACATAGAAGACAGTATTTCTTAATTTCTAATACAGATGTTAAAGAGGTAATAAATCCAAAAGCAAACATTTACTATATTGCAGCTTGCCAATTCGTAGATGTAATGGCTGCATTTGTTTTCTTTTTTTAGGCTTTCTTTCCTTTATTTTAATCTGGTGATTTGGACAGTAAGTCTGTTGGTTTTCAACAGAACAAGCTGTCCTCCAAATGCATCAGTTCAAGTGGAACTCATAACAGTTTGAGAACTATTAATGTTCTTTAACAAAAGCACATACATTCCACATTAATAATTATGCTCCTATAATTAGTGTGTGCTGTAAATTGCTTCCAGCATTGTTCCTGTTTCTTCTTGCTGGAGGGTGCCAGTTTGTTGAAGCCCAGAGCAGTAACTTCCTTATTGGAATTTCTCCCCGTCATTGATCTCAAAAACTAAATGTCACTTTCTTTAATTAAAATATGTACATTTCCAGCCTTGTATGTCTTAAATCAGAGAGGAAGCCTGACAGGAGCTTCACGCCGTCCATGCACCATACGAATCTTGGACGGTTCCTTCTGAACCAGCCGAGATTTGAATTATGTATAGGTAGGCTAAATGTACCCACGTTGATCAATCAACTTGGGTGCAACCAAGTCGTTAGCAGTAATCACTGTGTTCCCCCAGCGTGGATGGCAGCCTGCTCAGCCCCCCCCCCCCCCCCCCCCCCCGGAAGAAAACAAGGGCTCCATGGGAGGGATTCCCCTGTCATCGCTGACTGTGCACTGTGACACAACCTGTGCAGGAAAGAAATTCGGTCCATCTACTGTATGGCCTGCTTTACAGTGTTGAAATTCACAGGCTGCAGATGCGGGAGAAAGGAGAGAATATCAGGGAGATAAGATAAAACACTATCCTTGTAAGGCAAGCCATAGATGATGCAATTATCTTTTCTGCAACCAAAATCACTTGATTCCTACAGTCAGTGTTGAGGGGGGATTCCCTCCCCCAGCACTATTGATAGTAATAGTAATCACATGCAAACAATCCAACAGGCTGGCTGTACTGAAGTTGATAGATTGACTTCAGTACAACCACATGGATCGAATCTTGTCTGGTCCCTGCTGAATCAGCTGAAATTCGATCCATCTATGGCCAGTTTAAGTGTCTCTTTTGTGTCTCCGTGGCTGCAGAGTTTGTCCTATCACCTCTCTGCTTTTCTTTTCTCCCTCCCTAATCTGTCTGTGTCCTTCCTGTTGCTTTCTTCCCCCGTCAGCAACTATAAATCTTTAGGTGTCGGCTGATCAGCCTCTAGTCGCTCTGATTTTAGGCACATTGCTGAGAATAGAGAGCAACTGAGCATGTGCAGAGCAGGGTGAGGCTGTGCATTACTGAATTTTAAACAGTATAAGCACTTACCGTATTTTTAATGTTTTACATAGCTATACCTGCAAAAGGGGCCAGCCTGAAGTGATGTATCACTTGAAGGGTTGAGACAAACCAATTACCACTGACAGGGGTGCTTACAATGGTTTGTTTATTTATTCAAATAAAACCTTTATCTCAAAAGGAAAAAAAAAAACGGTTGTGTGTAACTACAGTGCAAGCTGGAGTATGTCTTCAGTTTGTTAGTGTATCTAAATCTGCTAGTACATCTAACACTCGCCTCCCCCCGAGTCTGACAGTGCTGCTGTCCAAAGGTGTCCCTGTGCTCCTTCATCCATAGTGGGAGCTCTCAAATACAGGAGGTGTGTTACTGGTCAGAACATCAGGTGAAAACAGGGAAAAAAGCCTAAACAGGAAAACTAATCCACCACATCTACCGATTGGTTTACACATTACATTTTTGGTTTTGGGTTTAATACTGCTTTAAATGGACCCTGATGGTAACAGAGGCTCTCATTGTCTCATTTCTGATAATGATAAACCAGAGGCAAGCATCCCTGACCCAGAGTGGAGGCACTCTAATACAAGGAGGTGTGTTACTGGCCAGATCGGTGGGGAAGACAGAGGGCAAAAGGCTAAGAAAAAGAAGAGTTACCACATCTAGGGATCAATAAGCTGCAACATATATATTTTTGGCAAAACTTGTTAAAACTTTTTCAGTGTACTGGAAATGACTTCCAACTAGTGCTTTGGCCTTTGCCTGCTTCCATCAGTTAAAGTGTATATAAAGCCACATTTTTTGGCAACTTTGGCATGTGGTAGTAAAAATGTGAATACTTGATGATTCTTGAATCTGGGGAAGGAATGTTGCCCCATTCTTGCCTGATATAGGATTCTAACTGTTCAACAGTCCTGGGTCTTTGTCGTGTTTTTCATTTCGAGATGTGCCAAATACTTTCTATTGGTAAAAGGTCTGGACTGCAGGCAGGTCAGTTAAGCACCCAGACTCTTCTACTATGAAGCCATGCTGTCTTTTTAATCTGGAGGACTCAGAACCCATGGATGCCAAAAATTCCTTTTAGCACAGAACAGTTTTCCACTTTGCAACAGACCATTTTATATGAGCTTCTCCCAGAGAAGACAGCAGCATTTCTGAATCATGTTCATATATGGATTCTTTGCATGATAAAGCTTTTACCTTGTGTTTTTGGATGGCACGGCAAACTGTGTTCACAGACAGTGATTTTTGGAAGTATTCCTGAGCCCACGCAGTGTTGTCCATCACAGGATTATGCCTTTTTTTAATGCAGTGCCATCTGATGGCTAGATGATCATGGGTACCCAATGTTTCGTTTTGACCCTGTCCCTTGTGCACAGAGACTTCTCCAGAATCTCTGAATATTTTGATGATGATATGTACTGTAGATGATGATATATTTAAAGTCTTTGTAATTTTAAGTTGAGGAACATTATTCTGAAATTGTTTGACAATTTTTAGACACAATTTTTCACAGATTGTTGATCCTCTGCCCATCTTTATTTCTGTGACACTCCATTTCTCTAAGATGTTTGATATTTATATTGTGAATAAAATATGGTTTTATGGCATTTGCAAATCATTGTATTCTGTTTTATGTAGATTTTACAACACATCCTGACTTTTTTGGAATTGGGGTTGTACTAGAAGATTTAAATACACTAACACATTGAAGACAAGCTCCAGTTAACAGTTTATAAGCAGTTACAGCAAACACTTTTTTCCTTTTTGGGATAAAGGTTTAACATAAAAAAAAGAAAGGCACCTCTGTCAGTGTTAAATGGTTTTTCTCATCCTTGTAACTGATACATCTGCGGGAGACCTTGTTCTGTTGAAAAACAGCAAACTTACTGGCTAGATCGTCAGGTGAAAATAAGAGCCTAAAAAAAAAAAATGAAAGCTAATGCAGTCATCACATCTAAGAACTGGTAAGCTGTAATATAATGTTTTCTTTTGGGTTTAAGACTGCTTTAACCGCCTCCTACCCGCCATATAAGAAAATAATGGGTGCAAGGCGGTTCTCTCATTCTGGGAGGACGTCATATGACGTCCCCTCACTTTAACTGTTCTTGCGCAGCCCCGGGGGCGCGCAGCACGGCGATCGGTGGTGCGCTGTCCCTCAGACACAGCGGATCATCGATCAACGGAAAGAGCCAAAGACGTCGGCTCTGTCATGTGATCAGCTGTGTCCAATCACAGCTGATCGCATGTAAATAAGGAAATGCCGGTTATCAGTATTTCTCTGCTCACATGCTGTCACGCTGACAGCTTGTGAGGAGAGGAGAGCCGGTAATCGGCATTCCTCAGAGGGGACATCTACATTGATCATCAGGGCACTGATGATCAGTGTAGCCCCATCAGTGCCACTTGTCAGTGTCCATCAATGCCAGCTGTCAGTGCTCATCAATGCCACCTGCCAGTGCCCATCAGTGCCACATATCAGTGCCATCTGAGCTGCCTTTCAGTGCCACCTATCAGTGCCAGTCAGTGCCACCTATCAATGCCAGTCAGTGCCACCTATCAGTGCTGTCAATCAGTGCCAGTCAGTGCCGCCTATCAGTGCTGCCTAACAGTGCCAGTTAGTGCCACCTATCAGTGCCGCCTAGCAGTGTCATATGAGAGTGCTGCCTTTCAGTGCCCATCAGTGATGCCTGCCAATGCCCATCAGTGCCACCTACCAGTGCCTCCTCATCAGTGCCTGTAACGGAACCGGAATCCAGACCGCACTGAGTTTTTCCGTTATAGCACAACTTCCCCTGTCCGAACACCATCCACGGACCACACCCTTGAAATCCCTCAGGAAAATAGACAATACCCAGCTCTTACTAAAACAGGAAGCCAACTAACCTTTATTTTTCACAAACAAAACATTTTATACAGAGGGCGGGGAAACACATCCAGGAACAGGACATACATCATCAGCCCACCCTCTCAGTGGGAAGGGCTACAGTATAGTCAGGAAACACCTCATCACCCCTCCCCATCCAACCAGACACAGAACAATGGGATGCAACCATGTGGCAAAGGACATTGACCAACCCCCACACCAATACAAACAGTACATCCCATAATAGTTCTCTGGACAGGAAGACACAGCACAATGGGGGGTAGCACATGGTAAACAGACAATGGACAGCCATGTGGCCTAGACAAAGGACAACACACTATACACAGGACTCAGACATTCACATACACACCCTGTAACCCTTAACAGGCACAGGGTGGGTTAAACATAATGATTTGGGGAGATGATACAGAGGTCCCCCGACACCCAAAAGTCACTCCCGTCACAGTGCCCATCACTGCAGCCTCATTAGCGCACATCAGTAAAGGAGAAAAATCACTTATTTACAAAATTTTATAACAGAAACTAAGAAACATTTTTTTTTCAAAATTTTCAGTTGTTTTTGGTTTGTTTAGCAAAAAATAAAAAAACCCAGAGGTGATTAAATACCACCAAAAGAAAGCTCTATCTGTCTCAAAAAAATGATAACCATTTCATATGGGTACAGTGTTGCATGACCGCACAATTGTCATTCAAAGTGCGATGGCGCTGAAAATTGGCCTTGGCAGGAAGGGGGTTAAAGTGCCCGATAGGCAAGTGGTTATAGTCAGTTGCACCCTTAAAAAGCACTAAAAATCATCACCATCGATTCCAGTGCATTTTGCCAAAATGGTGAAATGTTGCGGCACCATGCCAATTTTTGTTGAAGTTTTGAATAAATTACCACAATTTCTTTCATGTTTATTAGTATGCTCAATTATGACTAGGGTGCCAAGAACAAGGACTTTTACTGGTCACTCTCTCCTGTTGGCTTCCTCTATGCTGTAGAACTGGCAACCACGGCCTTTTCTCCCTGATACTGTGATGGTCAAAAGCACTGTGATGTCATCAAGTAAAATGCAGGTCCATTAGCCCTGCATTGTATGTGGGGACCCTGAAGTACAACTCCCAGTCTGGAGCTTAGGAGGGAAGATTTGAGCTCTGGCTACTGGCGAGCAGTGGATCGGGTAAGTAAAAGTCCTTGTTTCAGGTACCCTATAAACGAGCATTGTGGAGGGAGCCCCACTGAAAGGGGATTCTTTTTTATTTCCTCAAAGTTTGGCTAGAATTTGTCTTGCTTAAGTGAACTTTAGAGAATATAAGCAGCCTGTTTTCATCAGTCCAGGAAAAGTTGTTTTTCTAGAACGTTTCCCACGTTAGTATAAATATTGTGGGGAGATACAATCTCGGTGTACATGCAGGCTGGTGAGAGTACAGTCACAGAGGACAGCAGTGACACGGCTCCAGCTGAAAACATTTCCTTCCACCATTCTGAGCTTCCAGCACAGAGGATTCAGTTTCACGTGCGTGCCTTGCAGAGAAGCAGGAAGGTGTTTACCTGCAAGGTGAGCCCGGCAGTCATGGGAGATGCTTTTAAAGTCTAAAATTTCAGGCGCCTTTATCAAAAGCCATCCCCAGAGGAAGAAAAATTGAATCTCCTCCCTTTGTGTAGTTTCCGAGTGTCAATCAGAGAAGCCCTTTGTCCCAGACAGGAATTGATGTGACCTGACTATTTATCATTGTCCTGTCATCCTAGAAAAGCCGAATAATAGAAGGAAGAAACAGTGTCTCATTCTCAGTCCCCGGACAATACATAGCTGGTGGTATTGTGAAGTGGCCGTGTCCCCCATCTGCCCTGAGAAGCTTTCTGTGGCCTCGCTGCCCGTAACTATATAGCTTATTACGCGTACGGCTCTGAGCTCTTACCAGACTCGGCTGATATTACAGGTCAGATGCTGGGAAAGCAATTGAGCTTCACAGATTTTGTTTCCTCCATTGATTTAGGAACAAAAGCTTCGGAGATGATAGCAGAGAGCTTATTTCCTGTACAGTTTCTTCTCCAGAAACACCTATGCCTTCATTCTGCAGAGTGTTTTATCGATTCAAACGCTATCTGGTCTTTCCATAAACTATATTCAGGATGCATTTGTATTGGAAGCAGATTCTTAGCCACCATTTTCCCACCACCTTCCCTGAACCTCCCCACCATGTACGTGGTCTGTCTGGAAAGTATCCAACCACGTAATATGAAAAATAGAGACATTTACTGAAATATCAAATTCAAGCATTTATTGGGCAGCACAGTGGCTAAATGGTTAGCACTTCCGCCTGGCAGTACTAGGGTCGTCGGTTCGAATCCCAACCACGGGCACCACCTGCCTGGAGTTTGCATGTTCTCCCTGTGGCTGTGTGGGTTTACTCCAAGTATTCCGGTTTCCTCCCACACTCCAAAGACATGCTGGTAGGTTAATTGGCTCCTGTCTAAATTGTCCCTAGTATGTGTATGTATGAATGTGAGTTAGGGACCTTAGATTGTACACCCCTTGAGGGTTAGGGACTGATGTGAATTTACAATATATATGTAAAGCGCTGCGTAAATTGATGGAGCTATATAAGTACCTGAAATAAATAAGTAGGTACAAGAAACATTGTACATAGGCCAATAATGCTTCAGTCCCCTTCAAAGTGGGCACCTTGGGACCTTACACAAACTCTCAGACACAGTCGTTTTTGGCATCCCCTGATCAGCTTCTAGTTCTCTTGCTGTCAGTTGGAGATCTTTGTTGATTGCAGCCCGTACACGTTCTCAGGTGTTTTGCTTGTTGCATAACGTGGATCATTTTCAACAGATTCTCAACCAATTTTAAAGCATTTTTGCAACACTTTTATTTGCACTACACACATTGCATCATCCCCGAAAGCTTTCTAAATCATCCGAATGGTTTCTGCCGAGGAATGTTCAAGCCAAATGCAAAATTTGAAGCAGTTTCATTGCTCTATTGGCTCAGTCAGTTTGATTGAGACGGCCACACAGTACACATGCTTACTCAACCGCATCTAGTGCCCCCACTGACTACTACAGTGAACTCATCATTGTTCACGCATGTGCATTCAAGTTTACTCTCTATAGCTGCCAGGATACATTGACTTTACTCAAACCTTTCTTGTTATATCAACAATGGCTTGACTTTTACCGGACAGACCTTGTATATTTTATTAACCCCGTTAAACTATTTTCTGGAATTCTGATCATGTGATCACTCTGATTGCTTGTCAATGGCTGTGATCAGGATCATGCCCCACTAGCTCCCAATTTTCAACAGTGACCGGGAGCTGTTAATGACAGAGCAGTCACAATGCTGGTGGTGACGATTGCGTATGCTCCTAGTTCAAAACAGAGATGCCGGGCAAATGTGTATACATGTAGAGTCTGCAGCAAAGGGTAAATGCCCTAAATACATACCTTAGTTAGACCTAGCTGTCTTCCTGCCAGTTTGGTGACATCACCTGTGCATCCCCTCCTTGCCCAGTGGCTGTGGGTGGCCATCACTACAGCAGAAAAGGGCTTTTGCCTATTGATGTGTAATCACTATGTGCTTCAGTATTTTAGGTCCAGTCTGGTGTGATGATGCATGTCCGTGACCATTTGGGCTCACAGGATTTGTCCCACATTCAACCCAAAAATGTACAACATCAAGCAAAAAAAGGACTCATAGAGCAGTGCTGGAGTAGAGTAGTGCAAATAAGTTTTGCTTTTGTTTTTTAATCCAGGTGTTATTCTTTAAAAGAGGCAGACCTTGAAGCTGAAGGGTCCTAATGCAAAGCATGCACCTAGCAATTACTTTATAAGCTACATCTATCATTGGTAGGACCCCCTTTGCCCTTCAGAAAATCTTGAATTTGTTGTGGTATGATTTCATTAAGAGACTGAAAAATTTGTTAGGGTATTTGGGAAATGTCAACTCAATATAATCACCCAGTTTAGATTTGTCAAACAGATATACTCTAAGCTCCAGTTTTCTGTCATAGCCCAATGGGTTCATAATGTGTACAACAGGTTTGAACTCATTCAATTCGCTGTAGCTTTATCTTCCCTTATTACCAGCTGGCCCAAATAGAACCCCATGTGGTTCTCGTCTTCTACCTTTGGCTGATCAAAGGTAGGATCCTTGTATGTGCATTGTAGGGGATAACTGCAGTCCCAGTGTGTGATGGAGCCAGGACCAATAAGCTCTCTGAAACTAAGTGAGGGTCGGGTGGTGTGTTTGTTGTGAAATGATGTCCTTTTATCGTTGGTCTAGCTAGTATCAGCATTGGTGAGTGCAGGTATGCTTTAACCTTATGCTCAAAATTAACAAACTAAAACATAAAATGTAATACCATATTATATGAAAGAATACCCTCTATTTCCAGGGTGCTCAGCCTTTTGAAGACCAAGGGCCACTTAAAGGAGAAGTACAGCCAAAGCTCTTTCGGCTGTGCGGCTCCTGTGGATCACAGGAGTGCAGTTCGTTCTGTACTCTGTGACCCGTTTACAGCTGACAGTGGACTGAAATCTCTCAGCTGGTCCAGACTGGGGAAAGATCCTGACTTTAATGTCAGGATCCACCCCTTAGTCTGGAGCTGCACCTGGCTCAGCCTCTCAGTGATCTGCTGAGAGCCTGAGCCAGTTGCTTCGAGGACTGGCAGAGCAAACAGCGGCGACTGACAGTCACTGCTCTCTGCTCAGAGCTGCTGTGAGAACTAAGTGATCAGCGGTCGTAATCGCTGAGCTCTCACACTTAGAACCAGCGAGGGACAGATGCAGCATCAGACTGATGCTGCATCCACCTAGGTAAGTATATTTGGAGGGAAAAATAGAAACCCATACTTCTCTTTTAAGTGATTTGATAACCGGTCATGGGCCACAATGAATTTAGAATTTTTTATTTTGACTAGCTTAATGAATATTTTAAACAACAATCAGGATCATCATTTTTCCATGGGACTAATCCCCATT